TAACCCAGATGCCCATTGTCAAAAGTATATATAAAGGATATATTCATATGGTAGATCTATAACTATTGCAGCCACACAAGTGAATACAAGAAATACTGTTTCAAGTGGAAAAAAAAAAATCAAAGGCAGATTACATATATCGCATAGTGTTTTTAAAAGCTAAAACCCAGAAAGTTAAACAGTATATATTTTTAGAGTTATATACATTTATGGTTATATGTCTTTCTACAGAGAAATAGCAAAACCAGGAAAAGATAAGGACAAAATTCAGGACAGTGGTTATCTCTCCTAAAGGAGGGAAATGGGATAAAACACACAGGTAAATTCATTAACACTACAATATCCTAGGTATTAAATTAAGTAGTGGATTAATAGTTCCTCATTTTATTATTATGCTCCATAACTTATATTTCATATATATTTATATGTTAAATATTATATAACAGGAAGCTTAAGGAAAAATAACTTTGGTAATAAATGTTAAATGGATTATATCTTATTGTAAAACTTTTTTGGGGGGAGACACATGCTCTGGGGAATAAGACATTTATATTTTTAATTGCTTTCATTTTACAATGATATTTGAGTATAATAAAAACTATATTTGTTTCAGCTCAGGTGGGGAGAAAGAACATAAGCACATACAAACACAAATACTGTAGGCAAATTTATTCTTACTACCTTGCAGCAACTTTGTGAAATATGCAATTGAGACAAGAAGCACAGTTAGAACAGAGAGAGGAAGACTTAATAATATTATGTTAAAGAATAGTGCAAATGGAGTGGGGACAGAAGTGAGAATACAGATATATATATATATATGTATGTATAATTTAATTTAATTAATTCATATATATATATTTTTAAAGATTTTATTTATTTATTCATGAGAGACAGAGAGAGAGGCAGAGACACAGGCAGAGAGAAGCAGGCTCCACGCAGGGAGCCTGATGTGGGACTCATCCTAGGTCTCCAGGATCATGCCCTGGGCCGAAGGCGGTGCGCTAAACTGCCGAGGCACCCAGGCTGCCCGAATACAGAAATCTTTAAAGAGAAAGTGGAAATGGAAGATGGAGACTATAGTCTTCTTTTAAAAGTGCTTAGCAATGAAAGAAAATATTAGTTTTGTCTCTTTGAAGGAGTCTTCAGGACTACTTTTCCCAAAACCACTCTGCTTTGCTTTTGTTTAATGCATGCATTACAGATAGAAACATGCAGGCCCAAGGACAAACTTTGTTAAGCATTTAAGAAAGTTTCTGGGGGAAAAAAAAAAAAGCTCCTGAGGTTTCATGTCCACTCTAGGGACACACTAGTACCTATCCCCAAGGGGATGTTAACAGTGTCATTATTCAATCAGTGTTTCCTTTTTATTATTTTCACTATCATTTCAAGGTCATTTAACTCATTCTCTTTTTTTTAAGATTTTATTTATTTATTCATGAGAGACAGAGGCAGAGACATAGGCAGAGGGAGAAGCAGGCTCCATGCAGGGAGCCCGACATGGGACTTGATCCCCGAACCCAGGATCACGCCCTGAACCAAACACAGAGGCTCAACCGCTGAGCCACCCAGGCGTCCCTAAGTCATTCTCAATTCCAAATAGTACACCAGAACGCAATCATGACAACAGACCAAAACAACACCACCTCCAAAAAAAACTCCCACCCTAAAAGACAATGACATTTCTTAGTCATTCTCTCCTCAGTGGAGAATTTATTCATTGCTTATAATCTGCACAAATTACAGACCCCATTTTAAAATACCGGAAATGACTTAATACATTTTAATGGACTTTGCTTTGTCCATCTATTTTTAAAGCTCTTATCTGTAATTCCTACAAAGGGCAAAAAAATCTATTAATATATTAACTGTTTTCTTTACTTTCTTCTAATCTAAGAAAATATATTTTGGTGTTGGGAGAGAGACAGGAAAGAACAATGCTTCATCTCCCTGCGCAGGGTTTCCAGAGCTCCCGGTAAAACCTTTACTCCTGCTTTGCATGCCTGCTGTACACCAACACACTTCTATCACAATATTCATTTAATTAGGGCACCTGGGTGTCTCAGTCAGTTGCATCTGCCTTCGGCTCAGGTCATGATCTTGAGGTCCTCGGATGGAGCTCTGCATCTGGCTCCTTGCTCTGTAGGGAGTCTGCTTCTCTTTCTCTCTTTGCCCCTCCACTGCCAGCTCATGCTCTCTCTGTTTCTCTCTCAAATAAATACAATCTTTAAAAATTTTTTCATTTAATTACATGCCAATCTTCTTGACCTGGCGGTAGGCTCTTAGAAGACAGAGATATTTTCTTGCTCATCTTAGTCTCTCTAGACTGTGCACTAAGTTTGGTATGTATTGGGAGACTAGATAAATGCTAAAAGAATGAATGAGTGAATGAACAACGAACTTTTATTAGCCAATAGGGTTTTCTGAATGTTTATCTTTGAAAAAGCATTTTAAAAATACACGTTTATTTCAAAAGCTATTTAAATGAAGTACTGTCCCTAGACTATGCCCAGCACATAGTCGCAATAAATATATATATTTTTGCAATAAATATTTTTTGAATGAATATCAAATAGTTAGATATCACAAGTAATTTCAATTTACTGTGGCTTGCACTCTTCATACTTCCTTGTAACTGCCCTTGTAACAGGAAGTAAAGGAAGCCATATAAACAATGGCACATCATTCTCAGTTATAAGTTGTTTAAAACTTTTATTTATTTATTTATTTATTTATTTATTATTTATTTATTTATTTATTAAGATTTTATTTATTCATTCATGAGAGACAGACAGAGAGAGAGAGGCAGAGACACAGGCAGAGGGAGAAGCAGGCTCCACACAGGGAGCCTGATGTGGGACTTGATCCAGGGACTCCAGGACCATGCCCTGGGCCAAAGGCAGGCGCTAAACCGCTGAGCCACCCAGGGATCCCCTGTTTAAAACTTTTAAAAGCCATTCAAACAAAAAGTGAAATACAAAATTTATATTCTTTTAAAAGAAAAACCTGCTTCCTCAAATACATTTTTGCTTGTGGGGTATCACTTGGGGCTCTATATTCAGAATCCTTGATGGAAATGGTATCTCCATTGGTTTTAGGGTCATCTGTTAGGAAAAGTCTGAGAGGTAGTAGGTACAGTTTTTGATTTGCATCTTACATCTTGTATAAGAAGATATAAGGAGAAAACATACCAGTTATTAACATCTGTAGAGGTTTTAACCTTTTATAAAACTTTTTTTTTCTTTTTTTAAAATTTTTATTTATTTACGATAGTCATACAGAGAGAGAGAGAGAGAGAGAGAGAGAGAGAGAGAGAGGCAGAGACACAGGCAGAGGGAGAAGCAGGCTCCATGCACCGGGAGCCCGACGTGGGATTCGATCCCGGGTCTCCAGGATCGCGCCCTGGGCCAAAGGCAGGCGCTAAATCGCTGCGCCACCCAGGGATCCCACCTTTTATAAAACTTTCATATTATTTTTTTTCCAGGCGTCACAACTTTTTTTTTTTTTTTTTTTTTTTTTTAAGTTGGCTCCACACCCAGCATGGAACTCAGGACTCTGGATCAGGACCTAAACTGAGATCAAAAGTCAGGACTGTGATTAAGGCCTAAATTGGTCAGGGTTTGAACTCAGGACTCTGATCAAGCCCTAAACTGAGATAAAAAATCAGGACTCTGATCAAGACCTAACCTGATCAATGCTTGAACTCAGGACTCTGGATCAAGACCTGAACTGAGATAAACAGTCAGATGCTTAATGGACTGAGCCACCCAGGCGCCCTCAGGCTTCACTGCTTCTCCACCACAACACACAGCAGGGATTATCATCCCAATTTTTCAGATTAGGAAACTGAGTTTGCTAAATCTCTGCTAGGGTCCTCCTAGAACAAAGGAGGGGAGGGTGGCTCATTTCAGGTAAAGAAAAGTAATTGACACTTATTAAAATGGTGAGGAAGACGATTGCTTTTGGGGGTCAAAATTATTGTAAAAGGAGAAAGAAATTGTGCTTAACTTTGAATACAGTAAAGATTGCTGAGAATTTACGGCCAACAAAGAAGCAGAGCGAGGGAGTCCGTATGAAGGAACAGTAAGGCAGGCCAAAGGTGGCGGTGGCGGATAAGGAGTGTGATCACGTATCAAAGGCATCAGACATCAAGGAGGGGGGATGACTTAGCAGGATTCCTACTAATACTGGGCTCAGCCAGGCCAGCCTTGAAGGCCTAGGTGGGAGCCCGGGCAAGTAGAAGGCTCAGAGGCGCCGGAGTAAACGCCTGGCCAAGTCTTGGTCACGGGCTCTCTCGGACCTCTGTATTACCCAATCCCTGCGGACGGGGATGGCTGGCAGAGAGCCGGCCTCGCTCTCCCTCTGGGGAGCCATACCCGGCGGCCGGGGCTGACCAAGCCTCCCCCTGTGACCCGCAGAGCGACGCGGGTCGCAGCTACGTCCCTAGCATCTCACCGGAGGCGCCCAAACATCCGCAGGACCGCGGCTCCTCCCACTTCTGGGGCGGGCGGGGCGGGGCCCGCAGGTCGGGAGGGGCGGGGCCGTCGGCGGGGCGGGGCCCGCAGGTCGGGAGGGGCGGGGCAGGAGGCGCTGATTGGCCGGAGCTCTCGGGCGGGGGCTCCCGGCCCCGCCCCGCCGCCGCCTTACTGGCCGCCCCGGAGCCAGCGAGGCCGAGCGCTGGACGGTCCCGCGCTGCCCGGCGGGAGGGGCCGGGCCCATGTTCCTCCTCCCTACCGGTCCCATCCTTAAAGCACGAGTCCCGACGCCCCGCCTGCCGGAGCGGGCGCCGGGATCCGGACAGCGGGCCGCCGGGGCGGGCCAGGGCCTACCGAGGAGGGCCTGAGGCCACGGAGCCGCCGCGGCGGGCGCGCGGGCGTGTGGGGGTGAGGGAGCTGCGAGGGCCGGGGGTCCCGGGCGCCATTGCGGGCCGTCAGAGAGCCGCCCGGCCCCGGTCTGCCCCCGCTGCTCTCTTCCGGCCGAGAGGAGCCGCGGCTCGGGGCCGTCGCCACCCTCTGGCCCGGTGTCGTGAGTTGTCTGCTCATCTGCCGCCCGCGGCGGGCCGCCGGCGCCGAGACCATGTTTGACAAGACGCGGCTGCCGTACGTGGCCCTTGATATGCTCTGCGTGTTGCTGGGTACGTACGCGCCGCCGGCCCGAGGGGTGTGCGCGCGAGCCCGGGTGGGGGGCCCCGCGGTGGGCGGCCCGGGGGCGGGGGGCCCGGGAGAGGGGGGCCCCGCGGTGGGGGGCCTGGGGCGGGGCCGGGAGAGGGGAGCCCCGCGGTGGGGGGCCCGCGGTGGGGGCCGGGAGAGGGGAGCCCCGGGGTGGGCGGCCCGGGAGAGGGGAGCCCCGCGGTGGGGGGACCCGGGAGAGGGGAGCCCCGGGGTGGGCGGCCCGGGGTTGGGGAGCCCCAGGTTGGGCGGGCCGGGGGTGAGGGCCCCGGGATGGGGAGCCCGGGGTGGGCGGCCCAGGGTGAGGGGCTCCGGGGTAGGCGGCCCGGGAGAGGGGAGCCCCGGGGTGGGGAGCCCGGGGTGGGGAGTCGGGGTGGGGGGCCCGGGATGGGTGGCCGGACCGGGGTGGGGGGCCCGGGATGGGTGGCCGGACCGGGGTGGAGAACCCGGGGTGGGGGCCCCGCGGTGGGAGCCCCGCGGTGAGGAACCCGAGGTGGGGAGCCCCGGGGTGGGGGGCCCCGGGTGGGGCGGCCGGGGTGGGGACTCGCGGAGAGCTGCGGACGGGCTTAGGGGCGGCATGTGTGCGCCCGGCGCGCTCGCCTCTGCGGGGAGAGGCTCGGGGGCGGCTTCCGCAGCCCGGGGATCCGCTTTGCAGCCTGCACCCCGGCCCCGCGTGGCCCCTGCTGTCTGTCTGTCTCCCGCCGGTGTGCTGAGCCCAGCCCTGCTTGGACGCTGTTCACGCCTCTGCGCTCGGTCCTCGCTCCTGTCCTCTGTTTCCAGTTCCACTCCCAGCGGAGCGCGGTGGGCTCCTCCCCTCTCTGCTCTTAGGGAACCCCGGTCACTGGCTTGTCAGGTTCAGTAGCGACACATGATGTTGGATTCACTGGGGATTCTTAGGAACAGGCGCCAGTGCCTGGTTTATCTTCCTTGTGGGAAGCAGTTTAATTTTTCGTCTTTAAAAGACTAGAACGTTCCTAATTAGAAGGTGTTACCCGGTCGTAAATTGTCAGGTTGCAAGTGGGTGTGAGGATGCCAGGTTTCTGCCTATAGGTCTGGAGGTCTGAAGAAGCTTGCCTTTCTGGGTGTGTGTGTGTTTTGGGTGTGTGTGTGCGCGCGCGTGCTCCAGACCTGCTCATTCCTTCTCTGTACAGACCTTGCCATGGTGTAGCTTTCCTTCTCCTGTGACAGGCCACAAGGAGCCCTAGACATTCTTTGGCTGCAGTAGATTTGGCGTTGTCATCCTGGTGGAAGAGTCCATTTCTGGGGCTCCTGGTTGCTAGCTGCTCCTTTCTTTTGACAAGAAAGAATTGAAGTCACTTGGATAAGGGATAGGCATTGGAAGGAAACTTGCACTTTTTTAATAAGTATTTTCTAAGAAAGTATGTTACAGACTATTTAGACGTTATGGAAAAAAAGAAACCAAAGCAAGAAGACCTGTTCAAGATTTGGGTAGCCATGGTCAAGTATGGAAGTAATGGTACTGGCACGTTCTTTGGCTTGGCCGGGGGGGGGGGGGGTGGGGGGTGTCTGTGAGTTCAGCAACCTAGGTGCAGGTGTGCATAATGGGTTTTCACTGGTTTGAATCTTATATTCCACTTTGCTGCCTCAAACCTGATCATTTAGGTGCTTGCAGGCTTGCTCAATTCATACAAATTCTTTTACCCCCCCCCCCCTTTTTTTAAAGATTTATTGATTTATTCCTGAGAAAGAGAGGCGGAGACCTAGGCAGAGGGAGAAGCAGGCTTCCTGCGGCCTGATGTAGGACTCCATCCCAGACCCCGGGATCATGCCCTGAGCCAAAGGCAGATGCTCAACCCCTGAGCCACCCAGGCATCTCTTCTTTTACCTCTTCTTTGAGGTAAAATCCCTTTTTTATTATTTATGAAATACCTTTATTGTTGACCAAGATGCTTCCTGTACAGCTCCACAGTGAATTTTTGGAGTTCAGTTTAGGAAAACGAATCAACATTTTAGAACACTTTTTATAGAAACACAAGTAATTCTTCCAGATGCCAAGACATCCTAGTAACTACATTAAATATTTTGAAATTTATTTACAGTGAAAGATTGATTTTTGGTAAAGATGTTAAAATTTTATTTTAGATTTCCTTGTCTTTTAATTCCAGTGTAGTTAAAATATAGTGTTTATTAATTTCAGGTGTAGAGTATAGTGACTTGACAATTCTAAATATGACTCCGTGCTCATCAGAATAAGTGCACTCTTAATCTCTTTCACCTGCTTCACCCATTTCCCCACCCACCTCCCCTCTGGTACTATGTACAATTTTAAAATGTACTTTGACTCATACTCCGTGTCAGTCAGGCTTTGTTAAGCTTCATTTATATTTTAGCAAAGGGAGAGAAAAAGGTTTGGTCAGAAGTAATTTTGATAATTCTAATACATTGGCTAGTATCCTGTCAATTGCTGCATGTTGTGTACCGTAGAATTATATATCAACTTCCCCTTTTCCTACCTTATAGGAATTATTTATTCAGAATTATTATTGAGAATTATTGATTTATAAAACAAATGTCAAGTGTTTTTCTGTGGGCCAAGTACTGTACTAGGACAAATGAAACATAATACTGCTCTAAGGTAAGCTAAAGCTAATATTAGTAACCATAATGTCATAAGGTAGACTTAGTTTCCTTTGTATGTTTTAAAATCCGTCTATAGGGACGCCTGGGTGGCTCAGCCATTGAGTGTCTGCCTTTGGCTCAGGGCGTGATCCTGGAGTCCCGGGCTCGAGTCCCACATCGGGCTTCTTGCATGGAGCCTGCTTCTCCCCTTGCCTAGGTCTCTGCGTCTCTCTCTCTCTCTCTGTCTCTCATGAATAAATAAATAAAATCTTTAAAAAAGTAAAATAAAATCCGTCTATAATGGAGAAACCTATATGCAGTACAGTTGTATGTTATTTCTTGTCTTTTTTTGACATAATGCAAATATCACATAATTGTACTATAGAGGTAGGAATAATTTTATTGCTACATTGACCTGACTGTTGCAAGGTTTGTGATGGCCCTCAAATAGATAAAATGTGTTTTTGATTTTAAACGTCTTTGATGGTTTTGGGAAAAGCTTACTTTGGGGAGTTACAGATTAAGTATGTTTTGGAAAAAGATACCTCATCTATTTGAAACTATTTTATCTGTTACTGTATTACTTGGCATTCTTTTGAAGTAATTTAGAAGATTTTCATGATGAGCCCAGAATTCCCATTTCCTAAATAGAAAATGAAGTACTGACTTATTTAACTTTGTATATAAGATGACATTAGATTTAGTAATATCAACTTTCCATTACAAACATCCCCCGAATGAAAGAGAACAGCGGGGGAGGGGGTAAAACTTAAAAAAAAAAAAAAAAACTTTTTCATGCTGAGTTTTGGAAGACAATACATTTTTATAGCAAGTTCACCTTTCTTTTGGAGTATAAGGGTTATTTTAAATTTGGTTTTTATTCACTTTACTGACAGCAGGAGATTGCCTAAAATTAGGGGTTATCAGCTTGGCATTAACTTTATTCTTTTTCTGTGGAGAATATACAGGTAAGAGTTGACTACACCAACAAAAAGATGATTAAACACTTCTTAAGTACAGGGTTATGTGAAAGTGATTCGTAATTATATTGTGAATGTGTTCCAGGTTCTGTTAATGACCACTCCAACATCATACCGTGTATCTATTTTAATATGATGATGTTACATGATTGTGTTACAGGAGTACTTTATAATTTTATGGAGTGTGATGTCTGTTGAAGTGATCATTAAACATGTGGTGTGTGTCTCTGTGTGTATATATACACATTTGTACCCCTCTGTCATCTTTATCACTATAAAACATGAATCCCTCCCTCTGATAAACCCAAATGATTAGTTCCTTCAGTGGATGTGGTAAGTTCTTGGGAAAAGTCAGAATTTTGAGAGATGGTATTTATTTGAAATGGAGCATAGTCTTGACCTCTTTCTTTTGTTGTTGTAGAAAAGGATGGCCGTGAGCACACAAGGAGAGCTGCTCTGTAGGGAATGATAGCAGGCTGGTGTGACTGGCAGTGTTTTTGCCCAGTGTGCTAAATGATGTCCCGAATAAAACTTACTAGTGTTTAATTACTGAGAATAATTCCATATTTTATCCACCGTGGTGTAAGGCTGCCAGTTAGTGGACGCCGAGTCCACTGATTGATTCAGTGCACATTGATTGAAGGCTGATTCTGCCGAGTCCACGTTAGGTGCTGAGGATACAACGATGAGTAAGACATCCTTGCCCTAAAGGAGCTCAGGGTCTAATGAAGAGCAAACAGGTTACAGTACATCATGATAAGTGTAATAATGGAGGTATGGAGTAAGTGCTTCTGAGTACAGGGAAGTTGTCTTAGACCTGATCCATTGTAAATAAATGGTTTGTATGTTTATCCTTAGAGATGCAGAAGTAACAAAAGTTACCTGGAATTATTCTTAGAATCTTTTGTTTTCTTTCCCCACTTGATGCAGGACAGTAGGGACCCAAGTAAGTACCCTGTGTTGATAACTTTTCTGTAGACTGTCCCTTGGCATCTAGGAGGTTTAGGTGGAACTGGCAAAAACTTGTTATGTGCTTGTGTTTTGCTGTGTGGCAGTCATTTAGAATACCTTTCTGGGCTCCATATTCTCCTTTTGCTTCTCCAGATCTGTTCTCCATTTGCTCTGTGCTCGGGGAAGCAGGCAAATTGTATGAACAGTATCACCTGACCTCTTGCTTTATGATCTCTGTTTGGCTTTGGCTGGTGGTGCATCAGTAGGAGGCCTGGAAGAGCCAGTTCCTTCCTGCTGGATTTGTGTTGCTAGAGCTATTCTGTGGTTTTGTGAGTAAGTCACAGGTTCTGTTCAATGGCCCTCTCCGCCAGCCAGCTACAGTTGCAGATCGTTTTGGGTTCTAGTAACCCCTTAGTTGCCTGCCCCCTTAGGCCTAGTGATGATAATGGCTTCCT